TACGATCAGGTGTAATACACAAAGGTGTATTTCATGCAGACCGTGTCATGAATGCGAGTCTGACACAGTGAAACTGCAGTAGCACTCTTTTGCCAGTAGGTGCCTCCATTTTGCCAAATCGAGCAGAAACTTGCGTACGCCTTGTCTGGGGTTGCCGTGAGAATGTGCGTGGCGGTACGCCAAGTTTAGTTTTTATACATCTCGACGTGAGCGTGGAAACGGGCGTGCGCAACATTTTTGTGCGTAAGCACCGTTTATACATGAGGCCCCTGGAGTGATGTGTTTAATTGCAAACAAACACGAATGGGGCTCTCCAGTCACAGTTGTGCTCTTCATTTTGTTATTTGGTCATTACTGGCAAACCTGTTAAGGGACCCATCTTCTCTTGCACACTAGAGTAATCAAAAATAGTAATGGTAATGTATTAAACTAGTGCTATTGTCTTAATTTTTACCTTTATGTATTTCTGTATTTTTATTACTTATTTTATTTTTGTGACAAAAATTTTGAATGAGTCAAATAAAGCATCTATGACATATTTTGCAAATGACTTTAAAAACACAAACCTGACAACCACTGAAAGTGCACTTAGTAACCACAAATGTCCTCATTTTAAGATATTAGCCCTCAATAAACAAAACAATTTCACAATTTAAATAAAACTTGAATTAGCTTCCTCGTGACACACTTACTGAAGGGTTTGATTTTAGCTGTGAATTCTGGGAATGTGCAATATCACAACTGCCATAATTAAGGTTCTAACATAGTGAAATACCACTGCCATTTCCTGTGAAACATATACTCAAATATAAAACCCTTTAAAGTATCATGAGAATACGGTTGTCTTTTTTCCACTTCATCTTTTGGAATAAGTTCTCCTCTGTATTCCATTTTGCAAAATGTTCACAACTAAATACTCCATGGCCTGATTGAGCAAAATTATAATTTTTCCTACTTAAATAGTTAGAAATGCAGCATTCAGTCAATGAGGACTTTACCTTTATATGGACTGATACATCTTATTTCTAATCCACATTTGTCAGTGCATGCAGACGCATAGTGAGCTGCATTTTCTTTAGGTCTTAAACTTCTTCTGCTGCTCTGCTTCCCTGCTGCAGTCATGGGGCTGCTTTCTTTTACAAAGCATTGGTTGGTTTATCAGCTGTTATGGACATGAGCCATACCATTGTAGACTTATGCTGTACTACAAAGTTAAACCAGTTTAAATGTCAAGTGCTGGTGCATTTTTGAAATTCACATTTTCCCAGTCAACATTTGATATGTAATGATAAATAATTGTAGGAACTAGCCTTTGTGGATTGGGAAAAAATGGTGGGAAATATTTGTGAGATCTATGGATGTCTTCTCTATACAGTCGCCCCCCTGTATCGGTGGATGATACACTCTAAGACCTACTGCAAATAATAGTGAACCATCCACGGACCCAATGCACAACATGATTTTCGTGTATCTACATATGGTAAAGGTTAACACATACACTGCAATAATGCAGCACTGACTGTGATCCGCAAGAACTACAGGCGGACTGGAAGAGAGTTCTGCAGGGAAGCCTGTGTTTGGAGACAAAGAGAGTCATGTACTGAGCACAAGTGGGCTGATGGATTTCATCATGTTACAGCCTGTCCCCACTTGCCACACTGTTTGAAACTTATGTACCATTTATTTGTAAAATTTTCCCATTTTTTCCAGACCGTGGTAAACTGCAGATAACTGAAACTGCGGTTAATGAAACCAAGAATACGGGGGTCTTCATTGTACTGGTATGCATCTGGGTAAGAACAGTATTATTGTCAGAATTGTCAGTACTCCATAGTAAACGTAAACATGTTCATTGCACCAGAACAGACCTGGCACAGTTAATGGAAGTAATTAT